GACTTTTGGTTTGATGTCGGTAATTTACACTGATGAGGATTTTTTGTTTTGGGTTCTGGGGAACGAACCTATGGCCTTGTACATTACCTTTGAGCTACAATCTCCAATCCTTGACTGATGAAGTTTTACTGCTGTGATTTTTTCCATTTTCAGTAAGTTCATTAGTTTTCCTCTAAGTTCTTAGGCCATTTTGACTGATAGGAGGAAAGCCAATTTTTTTAGGTATGGCCTGTCATATTTTAGATGTTGCTATCCCTGGCTTACTGTTGGATGAAGTACAATAAAGACTACTTTTTCTGACTTTTACTATAAAGGGCTGGGGGCTTAGCTTACTCTGGTAGAGTGCATGCTTAGCATGCTCTATAAGGACCTGGGCTCAATCCCCAGCACCAAAAAATAAGACTTTGGCTTCTGTTTTATAGTAGCAACACTACTTACTTCATGGGACTCAAAGAAGGTTGATTTATTACTAGTAAATCATTTAATTTCCAAAATACAAGTAGCATTTATCTTAACTATAGATGTGTTCTCAGTTGTGCTAGAAAATAGAAAACAACAAAGGCTAGTATGACCTTCTGTGAAGGTAGATCAGATTTATCATAACACTGCATTATCAACTAGTGGCCAAGAAGCAGTTATAAGGAGAAATAACTATTATCTGAATTTGAAGTTCATTAATGAGACCTAACAGTCAATGTTTCTTCCTATAAAGAAATAGATGTCTGTTAAACTTAACACTATGGGTTAAGGAATAGGGCTGCAGTGATAAATTTTAGGCATAACAATAAAGTAGGGCAGCTTTAAGGGGCAAAGATCAGTCTGTTCTGATGTAAGAGTACTGGACTGCTTACTTATATTTTGTGAGTAGTCTGGTTGGCATAAGATTTGCTAAAAGTTTGGACTTGGAATGGGATTCTAAACTAAAAGAGACCTCCTCACTAGGATAGCTGAGAAAGCAGAGCAGACCCTCTTCCAGGCATCCTTGGGGCTGCTTTAAACCTGGAGGTAGGATTCCTGAATGGTGTTTACCATCCACTGCATGACCTCAGAAAGAGGTACAGTTTAAAGGAACTGAAAGATAAGTAACCTCAAAATAAGTGAATACATTTAATAAAGTAATAACCTAATAAATACTTACCACATCTCAGTTATAAATAATGACTCCAAATCATTTAAGGCAAAGACAAGTATTAACTTAAGTCTACTTAACAAGTAGAATAACAAATGTAAAGGTAGATGTAAAGTTTATCAAAAATCACATGGTCAGAAGAATTAGGATCATAGCTAGAAGGACACTATTTTCACTTTTATCATGAGAGATTATTTTACCAAAGTGGCATAAGTAAGTCATGCTTTTTACCTTAAAAATGCGATACCATCATTCTCTTGCTTTCTAATGCACTAAGGACTCACATTTGATTGTGAATTTTTCAAAACTCATTCCAGAAACACACATGGTAACATGATGGAATATAAGAAATCTTTTTTAAAAAAAGAATATAACTTGAAAAAAACTAGAATAAATATGCAGTTAAAAAATAACCTTACAAAACTATAGAACATCATCTTCCTCAGGTATATCACATACACTTACATAAAAACTGATAAGATGCTGAATAATTAAATGTACTCTTAAAAGTTTGTAAATATTTGCTTGCACTATATACAATATCCCATTATTTAAAATATTGAATTTCTCCCAAGAACTCCAAATATATTACATGTTATTACATGAATTCTTACAGCAAATCCCTTCAAACAAGGAGTGGCATGTCTCACAACTTTGAAGCCTGAATCTTATCAACAAATTCAATTGAAGGGTTAAATATTTCCCAAGATGCTTCCATCCAGAACTCTTTTTTTCCTTAAGGAAATTAAATTATAATCATGAACAATAATTTTCTGAACTTCTCATATATTTTTCAGAAAGGAGATTAATGTCAATTTAAAGGTAGAATCGAGCCTTTCAAAACAATCTAAAACAGTTTTAATTACCTAGGAATTGAGAATAATTAAACATTTTAGAACACTGGCTATCATAAATTGGTGMGTATATTTGGTTTTATTAATTGTATGTTTTGAGAGGATATCACATATTAAACACAGAGGTGTATACACACACGTCAACTCAAACATTAAAAAAAGATCTATGTACATAAAACTTCAGGGTTGCCTTTTCCATATTTAGTATAATGTAAAATTATTGTTCTATCTAGCCTGTGATTTCTGAATAATGGAGTATTGTTTCAGAAGTCACAAAAAATTTAAGTAGATTATTATTTTGACCAATTTTCAAAGCTTTTTCATTTTGAATTTGTAAATCCAAAATTATACCTAACTCTGGCTATCCATCTTAAAAATCAACTCCAATCACAGGATCATGACATGTGTTATATATAAGTGCTTTATTGTCATTAGGATATTATGGCCAAAACAGTATCTGGTCATAATCTGTAATGTCATGCTATTGGCTTTTATTGCTAATTTGGGTTATATTTTTTTGTACTGAGTATAACTTTGGATTATTTTCTAAATTTGTTTTAATAACCAATTTGCTGTTTTAAAGGTAACTGTCCTTATAGGCTATTATACTAGATTCTAGAATCTGGGGTTTAGGCTACTATTGCTATAGTAATACTGGTTTTCTGAAACAATTTCTATTTTAGAACTATGGTCAGCAATTGTACAAAGTTGGCCACAAAAAAAAAAAAACCTGATGTATTTGACATTTGATATTATATAAATATCAAATAAAAATGGAGATTGCCTAATACAATCATACCTGTAATGAAAGTGAAGATTCTACTTGTAGGGTATAAAGCATACTCCAGTAGCACTAGTTAAATGACTTATTCAGGGACTTGACTTCTATGGGCATTTAAACATTTGAAAATATATAACCTTTAATGTCTATAAATAGTCATGCCTTGAATGCTGAATGTGGACACTCACAGTCCATAAGCAACCCTCATTTGCATTCATGTATCAGCACGCCATGTATTTCTAAAGCACCTGTGTGTGTGTGTGTGTGTGTGTGTGTGTACTGTATCTATTATAATTGTTCAATATCATTGTAAACCATTTTCTTTTCAGTAAAGCTTTCAGAAAAAAAGGTCTATTATCTTGTACACATTTCTTTGATCACATTATCTAGGAAGAATCCAGGGTAGAATCTCTAGGCCTCTTTGCCTCAGAACAGCACTGCTAGTTTGTTTGGGTTTCAAGTTTGGTGACTCGTCACTGAGATACAATGAACTTTTCTGAATTTATTTTTCTTCAGCATTTGCATGTATGCTGAAATGAACTAAATTGTATTATTTCATTCCATATTAGGAGGAACATAATGTGCATTAATTATGTAATCAATTATAAATACATTTATTATAGAAATAATTTCTTTAAGTATAGACTATATTCCAGATAATATGCATTTTTATATCACACAAGGCTAAAAATATATATGTGAAAGTCATCTCTGTTGTACCAAGAAGGTAGAAATATTTTGTGGACAAACTCCTGTGCTGCTAGAGTTATCCCACAGCTGTTTAGATAGGCCTCATGGAGCAGCATGAAGGTACACTGGATAATACTGTGCATTTCCTGAGAGTGCAGAACTGAAATTTCTCTTATACTTTACAGTGTGTTAAAACATTAAGTCACAGGACACCAACTTGATACTGTGCGTTTGATTCATGTTGCTTAAAAGAAAAACAAATTTATGAACCAGCYATGTGATTCTGGAATTAGAACTTTAAAAAATCTATAGCTTTCCAATTTTAATAATACAACAATTTGGGTATATCATTTCATTGTGAAAATGATTTAAAACACAGTGTGAATACTATTTATTGCCATATATTTTCTCTTACCAGCTGGCACTCCATGTGGCAGCTTGGATGAGGGGAGAAACACATTCAGCAGCCAGGTGTCTGAGGCCACTAGACAAAGATGATCATCAATAGTTAAGCACCAAACCCTTAAAAGTGTGAATATTGTATATATGAAAAGTTAGCAGTAACATAGAATATGGTTAACTTAGTTTAGTGATGGCTACATATCTAAATATGTTTTAGGAAGAATTTATACCATCCAAGAATCCTGAAGAAGATATTAACAGAGATGAATGTGGAAATTTGTGTATTATGTCAATGCATTTAAAGAGGACATTTTTCCTAATCATTAAACAAAAAGTCTGTTTCCTAATATAAAAAAATATAAAAATTACTTAACATACATAGTACATAGTATATGTAATATTATACATATGTATTGTGTGTGTATATACGTGTGTGTGTGTACATGACAGCTGATAGTTACTCTCAAATTTTGTAAATTATTCAGTGGATTCAATCTTTTTTTTTTTTTTTTTTTTTTTTTTTGGTACTGGAGATTGAACTCAGGGATACTCAACCATTAAGCCACATCCCCAGTCCTTTTTTTTCAGTATTTTATTTAGAGACAAGGTCTCACTTAGTTGCCTAGTGCCTTGCTGTTGCTGAGACTGGCTTTGATCTTTTGATCCTGCTTCAGCCTCCAGAGCTTCTGGGATTACAGGTGTGTCCCACTGTGTCTGGCTTGGATTCGATCTTTGACRCAACAAATAGAACAAGTACCCTATTGATCATGTATTTCAAAAAGCACAATGATCATTCACAAAAAAAAAAAAACCCAAAAAACTACTAACTGCAAACTTAAATTGTCAAACATTACAGAAATTTGCAGAGCCATATTTTGCTGACCATATTCTTTAAGGAAAACTAAAGTAATTGGTTCAAATTACTGTAATTCATGTAAGTTTTACATGTAAAATAAATAAACTTTCTTTAAGCATCATTTTGTGTAAGGTTTTACAGGATAAGGCACTCTCTTAGTCTGCATGACCTTGCTTCTAGCCCAAGCTTATGTGTATATGCTAAATTAGTTAGCATCAGCATGTCACGGCAATAAATGAAAAGAACCTCATAGGAGAGTGCAAGGTATTGCTCTTCATTTTTCCACTAACGACAGAAATGAAAAGACTATTCTATTTGTACAAATTAGAATGGATAGCCATACATCTCTGAAATAATGAAAAATACGTGGCCTTGAACAGACTTTTGATGTTCAAGTCTTTAAATGGTAGAAGACTAACTGACACTGACATTAAGATTTTGTTTCTGTAAGAAATTTGATCAAGAAGGTAGGTCAATAACTACTATTTTCTTCTAATTAGAGTAAGTGACCCTTCACTAGTTAAATACCGAACTGAACAACAGCTTTACAAAACTATTTCAAGTATTCATTATCACAGTGAAAATGTGAGACCAATGTTAGTGTGAATGACTGGAAAATTCCTTTGATGAAAAAGGCAAGGGTACTAAATCAAAACATATACAAAATGCTTCAACGCATTTCTTTATGATATGAATAGAAAGATTATCCATAGAAAGTTAGAAAAATTAAGATAAATTATATATTAGTACACCTTTTCAACCACATTTTATATAAAAATTCAGAATAGTGTACTGTTATCTCAATCTACACAATAAAAATGCCTAGATTTGGCAGGTATCTTCTATCTGTGCATGTACTTTCTCAGTACAAGATTTTTATTTGTTGAGTCACTTTTTAAAAGTTTTATTTAATTGTTAACCTTATTGAATCATCAGTAAACCCAGCTGATTGGGACCCACTGTGGTTCCATTCTTAGTTTTTCTGTGGCAGTTTGTAGTTTCTCAAAGGCTTTGTCGAGATTGTCGTTTACAATGATCAAATCAAAATAGTGGTTGTATGCTCTCTGAATCCGTGCACTTTCATCCACGGTTTTCTTCAAGTCAGAGTCCTGTTGAAGAGTTTTAGAAGGAAATGTTTGTATTGTAATGCATATTTACTTGCTCAAACTCCAACTAAAAGTGAGTAAGAAATAARTAGGTTGGACATTTTTTATAATTCTGATATTAATCCTCAAAATTTAAAAAAAGACATTATCATCTGTTCATATCTTACTCTTTTCACCTACTTTGGTGTTTGTATTTTTGAATATTCTGTACCTTCTGTTTCATTGATATTTGGACAAAATTTCTAACTGAAAGGCTGTTGACAACAATCATTAGCAATAATCATGTGTTAATCTAAAGTAATAAAAGAATTATTGCAGGTTATTGGCTTCTAGTTTCTATATTCTTCTATTTCAGAAGATATTTATCTTCTGGCCCATGCAAATCATGGAGTCCAACTTGCAGTGGCTATTTATAAAAGCCAATTTACTAACAATCTCAGAATCTTAAGTGTGTTTTGAAGACTACCCACATGCTAGCCATTTACCACCAAAACATACACTCATACACACTTTTAGTTATTTTTTTTTGTTAGTATTATTTATATTTCATGAAATAGTTTTAGTCATTTTGGAATGCTGTAGGGAGTACTTCAGTAATGGGTTCTGCATGAGCAGGCAGAGCTTTTCATAAAATTCCAAGTGTTTTGGGAATTTCATTATATATCTGTATATTCTACAAATATTTACCAAGCTCCTACTAAAGTGTCTACTGTTTGGGACCTGATGGATATAAACATGAATACCAGAAAGAGTTCGTAACTTTTAGTGAAAGAGACAGGTAAGGAACAAATAAATAAACACAAAAAATTGCATGTTGTAATAAGTGCTATAAAAGAAACAAACTGGGCATAAAGAATTTTAACAGATCTGCTCTAGATAAAGTCATGCTGAGGAAGTAAGGGAAAATAAGAAGGTTGTCATGTGTATAGCAGTAGAAAGAACAATGCAGGCAGAGGAAATAACAGTGCAAAATCCAAAGGTGGGCAATGGGCCTGGTATATTTAATTGACTAAAAGAAGACCAGAGTGGATGGAGAGCTGGGGATTAGGGCTAGGGTCTGGAGGGTTTCAATACAATGAAGGGAAATGTGATCTGACATGAGTGGATGCAGCAAGGTTGGTGGCAGAGAGGGTGGAAAAGACACCAGCCTGGACATTTATTCTAATGATAAAATCATCAGGATTAGCTGATGGGCTACACGTGGAAAGAGAAGAAAATGCATACATCAAGGCTAGTGCTTACATTTCCAGTTTGTGTAAATGGGTGGCTATAGAAGATGTAGAGTAAGGGTTATGCAGACCGAGGACAGCATGATTTTTTTTTTTTGGGGGGTGTGGAGGGCAAAAAGTTCTACTTTGTATGTAGCAGACACCCATGTGGTTGTGAGACATCCAAAAGGAGATATAAAGTAGGTGACAAGGCAAGTATCCTAGGTCTAGGCTAGCTAGTACATCATCAGCATAACAATGGAGGCATGTAAGTGGTTTTGGTGAAAACACCTAAGAAAAAGCTTACAGAGAAGTGGGTTCACTACTATGACCAAGGAACCTGAATGCCCATGAACACTTCCCTGGACACTTTTAAAATACCTTTGATGGTAAATTTTATAATGAGATCATAATTCAACATGAAAGCAAGTTTTACCTATTATTATCATTAGCAATCTAGATTGTTAAAAGTGGAATATAGACAGAAAGGGGAATAAAGAATCTCTTTATAGAATAAGCTCCAGGATATGCTATTTCTATTATATAGACTAAGATACTTTTTATATAAGAAATGGGGGAAGGAAGGTAACCATATATACTTTAAAAAAAAATGGTTACCAAAAATGACCACCTTTGTAGGTGGGAGGGAAGAGAGTGGACAGGACAGAGAAAAGGTAGATTTGTTTTTAAAATTTACATTGAAACTATGAAAATGTTATACAGAATTATACAACAAATTTAAATGCAAATAGAAGAAAAGGGTAATACCTTAATATCAAAATCAAAATGAAACAAACCTGTTTTTCAAGTCAGTGGCCTARTCATATAGAAAGAAACTATTTTAATGACTTCAAAACAAAATAACTCAATACCTTGTGGGATAGCTATATCCTCAAATATTAAATAAAAGTCTTGACACTTAAAACTTCAAAACCATACTGTTATTAAGAGTTACTCAGAAATTATACTTTGTTTATATATATGCAAAATAAGAAATATGTTAATGTCATCAAGAACCAAGACTTTTAGCATAAGAAGCAAAAAGGCAAATGAAACATAAAATTTGAATTGGAACTATCAAGTTGAGCTAATTGTGTATGTTTTTTAAAGCAAAAAAATTGTATCCTCTCTCTGACCACTGAAAGGCCTAGAAACTATGTCCAACAGAGTTGAATGTACACCCTGAGAGCCTAGATTATCTCTAATCAGGGCATCTGGATGGCTGGTTCCCTGACTGGGTCAGGAAATATATAAGAATAACCTGGAACAGCCTGTCATACTAGGAAGCAAAGAATCATCAAAAACTACTAGGGTTGTATTAAAAAGGCTYGGAAGTCAAACTGAATAGGCTCTTACTAGCTGAAGAAAGCATAATTTAAGCATCAAAAAGAATAATAACTGACCTAAGTACATAGGAAGTATTGTAGGTCACATTAAACAGAGTGAATTTGGCTGGGCACAGTGGTGCATGCCTGTAGCCCCACAGTTCAGGGAGCTGAGACAGGAGGATCTAGAGTTCAAAGCCAGCCTCAGCAATAGCAAGGTGCTAAAGCCAACTCAGTGAAACTCTGTCTCTAAATAAAATACAAAATAGGGCTGGGGGTGTGGCTCAGTAGTTGAGTGTCCCTGAGTTGAATCTCAGGTACTCACYCCGCCAAAAAACAAAAATGAAAACAAAAACAAAACCAGAGTGATTTGGTGGTATGTGTTCTAAAGATACAAAGAACTGGGCATATGTGTTTGGGGCGGGGGGGCTGTTCACAGAAAAATCACATCAGAAGTGGTACTGTTGATAAGATTTTTTTTTCTCAGACTGTTGTATTTGTACTGTCAGATAAAGCAAATGAACAATTATGTGATAGTCTCACTTTCCCAATGTTTCTGAAAACTATGATGTATATTCAGCAATAGGGAAAGGAATTAGTTTTAAGATAAAAGGATTTTGGGAAAAATCAGTATGAATTCATGACACAGTGTCCTTTAAATGTACAAACAGAAAAGCATGTATCCTAGCTTTAAATTTTTTTTTGTAGCTGTAGATGAATACAACACTTTTATTTTATTTGTTTATTTTTATGTGGTGCTGAGGATCGAACCCAGTGCCTCACAGGCTAAGCAAGTGCTCTGCCACGTAGCTACAGCCCCAGCCCTATCCTAGCTTTTTTTTAACGTAAAAAGGTCTAGCTAAAAACAATGATTAACCTTGAGACAATATGCATTGCATCCTTGCATTACAGTCTTAAAATACCATTTTCTCTAAAAGGAACCAAAACATTTTTGAAAAATGTTTGATTTCTGGCCTAGAATTGAAAATGAAAATGATGAGCCTAGAATTATCTATCATATCAGACAGCAAGGAAGTTATCCAAGACCATTGGGCTCATAAAAAAAGTATTTAGCACCAACTAAAATAGGCTCACATTGGTCAACAATGGGACAATTTGAACATCTATAGGAATAATAACTGCCACAGGGAACAAACCCATTCATTATTCTGCAAACTGACCCATAAAGGTAGAGTCAGGCTTGTATGCTGCCTTTCCTCCATAAACTATACCACAGAGTAATCAACTTTTAATGAGGACCCCTCCCCTTTTTTTCTAAACTAGAGCATTATAGTAATACCTTGTAGTTGGCTTTATTTTGACAAAATCATACATGCATGAAATTTAATTTCAATCCCTTTCCCCTGCTTTTTCCCTTCCCTTCTCCTCCTGTTCTCCTTCTTCTATTGATCTTACTTTTGTTCTCTCTACATATATATAAAGGCAAAATTCCCTGTTGTGCATTTATATATGCATACTATGATTTTGTTAAATTCATTCCATATTTCTCCCCATTTCCTGTCCTTCCCTCTCAATCTCCTTGTATTAACTCCACTGATCTTCCCTATATCATTATGGTAACTGATCCCTATCAGCTGGCTACAAGTGTCTGGGTTTGTCTATGTGATTTCTTTTCTATTCTATTCCATTGGTCTTCATGTCTATTTTGAAGCCAATACCATGTTGTTTTTGTTACTATAGCTTTGTAGGATAATTTGAGTTCAGGTATTGTGGCGCCTGCTTCATCTATCCTCTTGCTCAGGATTGTGTTGGCTATTTTGGGTCTCTTATTCTTCCAAATGAATATAAGAACTGTTTTTCTCTAGTTTTGTGAAGAATGTTATTGGTATTTTGATAGGAAAGTATTGAATCTGTATATTGTTTTTGATAGTGTGGTCATTTTGACAATATYAATTCTGCCTATTCAAGAATATGGGAGGTCTTTCCATCTTCCAAGGTCGTCTTTAATTTTTTCAGTGTTCTGTAGTTTTCATTGTAGAGAACAATCACCTTCTTGGTTAGATTAATTCCCAAGTATTTTTCTTTTTTTTTTTTTTTTTTAGGTTATTGTGAGTGGCATAGTTTTCCTGATTTCTTTCTTAGTAGATTCATTATTGGAGTACAGGAAAGCAATTTGATGTTGTATCCTGCTACTTTWAAAAAAAAATTTTATCAGTTCTAGAAGTCTTTAGTGGAGTTTTTTGGGTCTTCCAAAAATAGGATTATGTCTTCAGCAAAAAGAGACAGATAGACTGATAACTTCTTTTCCTTAATTTCCTTCTCTTGCCTGATTGCTCTGGCTAGAGTTTCAAGAACTATACTGAATAGAAGTGGTGATCTTGTGGACATCTTGTCCTGTTCCTGATTTTAGAAAAAAATTCTTTAAGTTTTTATCCATTCAGTATGATGTTGACTTTGGATCTGTCATATCTAGCCTTTATAATGTTGAGGTTAAATTCTTATGTCCCTAGAGTTTCTCCAGTGTTTTTAACACGAATAGGTGGTGGGTTTTAGTAAAGGCCATTTCTGCATCCACTATAATGATTCTTGTTCTTAATTCTATTTAATTACTGAATTACATTTACTGATTTGTGYATGTTGAGCCAAACTTGTATCCCTTGAATGAAATCAACTTGATCATGGTATATTATCTGCTTTATGTGTTTTTTGAATATGGTTTTCTAGTATTTTAATAAGGATTTTTGCATCTGTGTTCATCAGGGATATTGTTCTGTTTTCTTTCCTTTATGTGTCTTTGGTATTGATATCAGAGTTATACTGGCTTCCTAGAATGTATTTGGGAGTGTTCTCTGCCTTTCAATTTCATGAAGTAATTTGAGAAAGACAAGTGTTAATTCTTTAACACTTGTAGAACTCGGCTAAGAATCCATCTGGGTCTGGGCTTTTCTTTGAAGGCTYTTAACTGCTGTTTCAATTTCAGTACTTGATATTGGTCTGTTTAGGTATTTTACAGCTTCCGGGTTCAATTTCATATGTATCTAGAAATGTGTCAATGTCTTTTACATTTTCCAGCTTACTGGAGTATAAATTTTCAAAAGTTTCCTCTGGATCTCAGAAGTATCTATGATGACATCTCCTTTTTCACTTTGTTAATTTAGGTCTTTTCTTTCGTTTTTTTTTTTTTTTTTGGTACTAGGGATTGAACCCAGGGGCACTCAACCACAGAGCCACATCCCCATCCCTATTTTGTATTTTATTTAGAAATAGGGTCTCACTGAGTTTGCTGAGACTGGCTCTGAACTTGTGATCCTCCTGTCTCAGCCTCCCAAGCTGCTGGGATTATAAGTGTGCACCACAGTGCCCAGCTTCTCTTTCTTTGGTTAGTTTAGTTACGGTTTTATCAATCTTGTTTATCCTCTCAAAGAACCAACTCTTTTTTGCATTAATACTTTGTATTTTTTTTATTCTCCATTTCATTAATTTTGGCTCTGATCTTAGTTATTTCTTGTCCTCTACTAATTTTGGAATTAATTTGTTTTTCCTTTTCTAAGGCCTTGAGATGGAGCRTAAGTGTATTTATTTGGGAGTCTATTTTTTAAAAATAGGCACTCAGTGTTATAAATTTTTGAGGTCTTTTAAAGAACTCTAGTTTTATATATGCAGAAGGAATAACAAACTTAGAATATTACCACTTTGTCATTCCTAAAAACAAAACAATAACTGATCCAGGCAAAGAGCAAAAGCTTGCTAAAATCATTAGGTAAAAAGTTTGTCACCATTTTGAACCCAGTGCTTAATTGTTTTTTTTTTTTTTAGTGCTTAATGGATCTTTATTTTATTTATTTTTATGTGGTGCTGAGAATTGATCCCAGTGCCTCACACATGCAAGGCATGCACTCAGCCACTGAACTACAACTCCAGCCCTATCACTACTTAATCTTATCACAAAAGGGGAGACAGCCTAACATAAGCACCATGATGTAATAACATAAGAAATACCACAAATGAATTTTTCTTGTGAAAAAACAAAACCAAAAAACCCCGATGAAACCCACCTAAATCTACATCTGATCGGGCCTCTAGATCTACCTATCAGTTCACAGGAAAGAGAAAGGACAGAAGAAAATATAACGAAAGTGAAAGAATGGATAAAATCCAGACTGTGGAACACTAAAGGGTAAATGTCCTATAAATAACAACAACAACAACTAAATTACAATGTTAGAGGGAAAAGAGGCAGGCAGTGAGAATTTTCAGATTAAAAGACCCAAAACAGAGTTCATAACCCACTTCAACCTAATGTATGAAATATGATATGTCAAGAGCTTTGTAATGTTTTGAACAACCAATAAAAATAAAAATTAAAAAAATAAAATAAAAATAAAAGACCCAAAAGGGATGTCTACTTCCAGGAACCAGACTAACCCTACCTCCTGACAACAAAAACACAGAAAAAAAATATGCCAAACAATAGTTTGAAAGACACGGTACATTAGGCAGAGACAGGAAACAAATGCAGTAAGCCCTGTGAATACCCCCATTTACAACCTTGAAAGAGTTTGCAGGGGAGGGAAAGCCTAAAAGGAGTCTAAGGACTAAGTTGAGGACAGAGCTGGGAGTTCAGAGAGCCCAAGGTGAAAACTGCAGGACAGAAAACCAGATAAGAGCAGCATGGGGGCAAACTCTAGAAATTTGCAGCTGATCCCTGAAGAAGTCAGCTGAGCACCAATGGTGCATGTGTCAAACACCAGAAAGGAGTATAGATATTTATACTGAGCCAGGAATAGTACTGTTCCTACCAGAACAGAAAAACTCATGATTCACAGGCCATTTGGAAGAGCACCAAATGGGTTTGGGTTTTGCCTCAATAGAGGGGAATAATGGGCCTGAGAATGAGAACTGTTCAGGTATTAACTAACAAATTATAAACACAAGACCAAAAAGGAACAAACTATTTCCAAATAACTGCATCTCAAAACAAAACTCAAAATGTCTGGCATAAAAACAAAAACCAAAACAACCSCCCCCCTGCCAAAAAAAATAACCAGGATTGCAAGAATTAGAAAATATTATCCATAATGGGGGAAAAAAAATCAGAACTGTCCCAGGATTTACATAAATAACAGGACTGTGCTGAGAGCCATTAGCCAAGTAGGTATGACAATTTCCTTGCCAGCGTACCCCAAGTTGCTTAGAGGAAGGACTTGCCTTGGACATTTGCAGTGACATTGCATGTATGCTTGAGTAAGGTGACCTTGCTCAAGGACCAGGGCGGATCCAGGTTTAGGGCGGATCAGGTTTTAGGGAGTATCCYGCTCCTTGGGTTTAGGGCCGGTTCCAGGTTTAAGGTGTACCCTGCCAGGAATAGGGCGTATCCTGCTGATTAGAGCCTGGTGGAGTACGTGAATTTGGCAGCAGAACTTGGATTTCCCCAGAACGTGTGTAGAGTACCCGTGTGAGTTCGGGAATAAAGAATTGCTGTTTGAATCTACAAAGCTGTGAGTGGCTTGTGATTTTGTGCCCAGCCAGACTGCAGCAGGACTAGAAGGTAATAACATTAACTTATAACTACGTTTCAAATATTCAGAAAGTTAAATAGAGACATGGAACAACTTGAAAAAGAAGAACTATGAAGACTAATACTACCTGATTTCAAGATATATTGTCTGCTAGAAACCAGGAAGAGGTGAATGCTGTGGGGAATGGTTTGGATGTGGTTGCAGAGACACACAGGAAAAAGCATGGAGATGATAGATAGGTTCATTATTTTGGTTGGAATGGTTTCATGGGTGCATATATATGCTCAAACTTATCAAACTGGGTACTTTAGATATGTACAGATAACTATATATCAATTACACCTGAATTAACTAAGTTGAAAAAAATTTAAAAAGAGATGGGCTGGGATTGTCGCTCAGTGATAGAGCATTTGCCTTGCACGTGTGAGGCACTGGGTTTGGTCCTCAGCACCACATAAAAATAAATAAATAAAATAAAGGTATTGTGTCCATATACAATTAAAAATATTTTTTAAAAAGATATAATATTTACTTATTAATTTTTTGTGTAATAGTGTTATTATCATGTTTTAAAAAGACCTTATCTTTCAAAGATAAACACTAAAGTATCTATAGATTATATAATATTATAGGCTTGCCTCAAAAATAATGCAAGGTGAGGAAGGAGGTGAGGAGATATTTAACTCAACAAGAATGGAATATATTATTGAAGGGAGGTGTTGGGCACATGATGGCTCACTTTTTTCCTTCTTTTATGTGTATCTTAAACTTTTCATGATATGAAAAAGAGGAGGAGGAGAAAAGAGAAAACACTGAAACTGAACAACAGAACCCCTAATTCTAACAATAATACTGTTTTTTTCCTTACATTTTATAATGGGTAATTACATTTTTGTTTTAAAATAAAAGGTACAAGTATTCTCAAGAAATAGTAGTACTGTTCCAAATCCTAACAACAGAATTTTATTCTGTAACAATTTATGTAGTATATTTATTTGTTTAGTATGACTAGGAAGAATTAAACATACCGAAAAGGAAAAGGAAATAATTTAGGGAAAAATATAAAAAATATAAGCCTGAAAAKAACTGCTCACCGTCAAAAGCTTGGTAGTGATTCCTGCATCAACAACAGCTTTGTGCATGGCACGTAGCGTCTCTAGCTCTGGAGCCGCAATAAATACCACATAGGGCATGAATTCGGATGTCCTCAATACTTTCAGTGCCTGTGTAAAATAATTACAAACCAATTTATATTAGAACTTGAATATGCTACCCTTTAGTATAACTCAAAGTCTATCTGCCTTCTTCCTAAGGATTACRGACATAATTTACTCCCTCTCCTACTGTTCTGCTGATTTCATTTAGTACCTTCCTAAAATAGTGATTCATTAATTTTGTAGTAAACTCAGTGTCAGTCCTCCTTTGCTCCTTCAAACAAAGGAAAAGTGTAAGATTTAGTGATCCAAAACTCATGAGTGATGTAAACTCTTTCTGTGTAATTGTAAAATTCTGTCAATATTGAAAAAATAGAAATAACCTCAGTGCTGATTACTTAMGAGTGACTAAATAAATACATGTACATCCATATTGTGATATACTATGCAGCAACCACAAAGAAGAAAAATTATTCACAGAACCTGACAAGATCTTCAACCACTGCTTTATAAAAAAGCCAAATAATCTGTATAAAATTCTTCCATTTATGAAAAAAGCAATGACAGTAAAATAGAAAAACCCATTACATTATAGATGTTTGTATTTAAGGCTTACTAAAATGGCTAGAAATATACATATCAAACTATTAACATTTATCATTGAGTAGGGAAATGAGGTTGGGCTGTATATGAAAAGGTGGAAGGGGTGAGAGAGAGACACGCAACAAGAATGAAGTGAATGTCCTGTGTGTGTGTGTAAGAGAGCGAGAGTAAGAGCACTAGAGAGCGAGAGAGCGAGAGAGGGTGTGCACGYTGCGGGCTACGTGGGACAGGGTGGAGAGAGACACAGACATAAGAAAGAAAGGAGGGGAAGGGACTTCAGTTTTTTATTCTTTGTATTGCAGCCTTGAGTTTAAAATTTAATATTTCCTAACACATGCATTTGTGTATTTTGAGAAAATAAACAAAACCTAACTTCTGCAGATTTAATCACATGGTTTCTATCCTTATTTGACCCTTTGCTGGCTAACTCATCAGAGATTTATTTAATTAGTGATGGATACACAATAAGATTCTCTACCAACAAAATGTAACAGAGTGAAAGAGCAACCCACCTTCCACCTCTGACAAAACAAACAATACCAGCCTCCTTAGACACATAAAACAAAAACTCCCCAGGAAATAAAAACTTTAAAACAGCTTTGGAAACCATGCTGCTCACTTGTGGGTTGACATCCAAAATGCAAGTTCGTCCGGTCTGGACAACTTCAAGAATAGAGTCGATCTTAGTTCCATAGAGGTTTCCTTCATATTCCCCATGCTCCAAATACTTTCCAGCTTTAATATCTGCTTCCATCTCTGATCGTGACACAAATTTATATGCTTGGCCATCTTTTTCATCTTCCCGTGGTTTCCGTGAAGTAACTAAATAAAATAATGTCAATTATTTGTACAAAGAAACTATAGGGTATAAAAAATGGACTAATATATACCAGGTAGCTTCTCACTTTTCCATGTAGTGCAGGTGCTGTCAAACGACAGCCTATGACCAAATCTGACTTACTTGCAATTTTTGAAAATAAAGATTTATTGGGTCATAGCCAGGCTCATTCATTATCCATGATTTCTTTCCCATTAAAACATGAAGCAGTTGAGAGAGACTGATGGCCTGAAAGCCTAAGGTTTTACCACATGACCCTTGCACAGAAAATTTTTGCTRACCCTTGAGAAAAAGGAATGTTTTAAGAGGTAGTACCAACATAAAATTTGTATCAAAACTGTCCTTTTAAAAGTCAATTTAAAATTTCAAAATATATTTGCCTAGAGGCGAACCCTAAATCAAGTTTTTAATTACTGCTGAGTCTTAAAAGTGTGAAGCTTGTTACAAGTGAACATCTTTTCCAGATGACAGCTCTCCCTTTTCCTTTAAAGACTCTGTTAGAATCATCCGTTCCACTTGAACATTTCTTCATTGAGTGTCCAAAAGGCAAGCAAGGTTCATCTAGTCTTAGTTGATCATATCAATTTTCTGAAGTATAGTTCTATCCACAAATTACCTATTTTTTTATCTTGCCTCAAGCCTAACCAATTCTCTTTGTTCCATGTTTACTGATATTCCCAATTGTTGAATGTTTTACTTCAACATCAGAAGTGGAACAGCCACCTCATTATTATTGTGATCTCTAAATCTCTTCTACTTTGCCCTCCCCAATGAATGAGAGTGAATAACACAAGTCAAAATTCAGAAGTAGAGGATCCTTTTGTATAATATTTTAGAATTCTGATATTTTCAGAGACATACAACTCCTTTGAAACTTGGTCTGTGCTAGGAATGGACTATTACCATCTTTCAAACTGTTGCAAAGGGCGTACTTTGACAACTTCATTAAACACTAGCTTTGAGGAAGAAAAGTAATTTCTATGTGTATTATTTCAAGCTTAATCTTAATCTGAGCTTGGAAGGATCAATTATAAAAATAATACTTCCATAAAAGCTTATAAATATATAACTGAACAAATCATTAAGTACACAAAAGTAATCAAAAATAGAAAGCTGACAAAGCATAAAACACCAAGAAAACTTTCATAAGAAAAAAATAAACTTCAAACTCAAGCTCAAAAATAAGGGTTTAATTCATAATGAGATTGTTATGTACAACAGGATTCCCTTTTATCTCCTGTTATTTTCAGTCTCAACCTCTAGAGTGGTCATGCCAGACCACTGTTGAGAATACTTATAACTAACTTTGGAATCTTCAAAATTCCAAAGTTAGTTATAAGTAATGCGATGATGGATTTTCATATTCAAAATCATGGATCTCGGGCTGGGGTTGTAGCTCAGTGGCAGAGCACTTGCCTTGCACATGTGAGGCACTGGGTTCKATTCTCAGCACCACATGAAAATAAATAAAGATATTGTGTCCATACCAAAAAAGATCTTCAAAAAAAAAATCATGGATCTCTTCCTGAAATTATTCACCAAAGGTGGCAATATAACAAAACTTCTAAGTAACTTTAAATTTACCAAATAAATACATACTAAGACTTAGTTCAATAGCTGCAAACATAATTTTAGAAAAGTACTGTTTTGTTTTTGGTGAGTGAGTAAGGTGTGTGTGTGTGTGTGTGTGTGAAGTCCTACAGTGAAACCATATAAGGAAATATGCTGCTTGAAATAAGTATGTATATGGCACATATATACTCACGGCCTCTCCCAACATGTTGAGAGAATCTTAATTCTTGGAGATATGTTATTTAGTTTACAAATGATTTTTAACTATAACCCATTCTTTACTGAAAATACCAACAACAAAAAAATCCAAATGAATTCTATAGTACCACATTTTTAAATACCCCTTTCCATTTCTAAAACAGAAATTAAAATTGAATACAACTGATTAGTTAGGCCTACATAATGAGCCACTAAATAATGTGATTTCTTAGAAGTAAATTCCTGTGGCAGGTAAAATTCTAAATTTTGGAAGGAAACAATAAAGAAACAATTCGTTAACTAAACTCAAGGTGTCAGTGTTAAGAGCAGGATTCATAAGGTAGTTTGTTCCCCAGGAATAACAATGTTTTTCTACTTTAATAAAATATCATCCATATCACCTGCCAATGTGTAGAAGGATATTATATATCAAAAATCAGGCAAGAACCAGCCATCTCACTACTGAAGCAATTGAAATTAGTATGTCAAAGAAATACAGGCACTCCTATGTTCATTATAGCCTTATTCATAAYAGCCAAGATCCAGAAATAACAAATGTGCATCAATGGACAACTGGGTAAAAAATATAGTATAAAAATACAATGGAATATTATTTGGCCTGAAAAAAAAACCCCAGGAAATTCTGTCAGTTATAATAATACAGATGAACCCAGAGGATGTTATGGTAAGTGAAATAAGCCAGCCATGGAGAGAAAAATACTGTATAAGCTGACATATTTGGAAGCTAAAACTGTCTAACTCACAAAAGTAGAGAAGAGAGTAGTGGTTACCAGAGGCTGGGGTAGGGACAAAGGTAACATTTGATTAATAAAGTTATAGTTAGGAGAAACAAGTTCTAGTGTTCCACTGCACAGAAAGATGACCACACTTAATAATGTACTGTTTATTTCAAAATAGCTACAAAAAAGATTTTAAATACTTTGAACAGGACTGGGGCTGTAGCTCAGTGGTAGAGTGCTTGATCCCCAGCAATGAAAAAAAAAAAAAAGAAAGAAAGAAAGGAAAAAAAAAAGTCTGACCACAAGGAAATGATAAATATTGGCTGCATATGTTACCCTGATGTGATCATCCCACAATGTATGCATGTATCAAAACATCATATTGTCACAGTTTTCATTCTTTCTTTTCATTTTTTTTTTTTGTAAAGCAAGAAACAGCAGGTTTAATGCAAAAGTGACAGTAATAGACTTCTCCAAAGAGAAGGGGCCCTGGAGCTGGGATTCMCTCAGTGTTTCTTTTCAGTGTTTATTCTGAAGCTTTACAAAAGCAAGGTGAATGATTTAAAGAAGAGTAAAACAAACCTACATTATGTAAAAAAGTGAACTGACATATGTATGGATATACGTAAACTTTTCTGTATAAAAATAAGAATTATCCAAAGGTAATAGTACATCTTTCTCGGAAATTAATTTGGCACTAGGAAATCAAGATGAAACATTTATATATATACTCTTTGATCTGTGAATTTTATATTTGAGATTTACATATTTATATTTTATCATTACCTTATTTGTAACAAAAATGCCTTCACCCCTACTAAATCCATATGAAATAGAATGGTTAAAAAAAAGTAGCAATTAGATGCTGGAATATTAAAACACTATTACAACAAAAAATTATTTAGATTCCTTGTGGTGTAAAATATACAAAAATAGCCATAGTTTAACACTTTAGGTGCACAATTCAGTGGTTAATATTAGAACCTCTATCTTGTTGTGTAACCACCAGCACTRTTCATCTCCAGAACTAATAAAATCTCTGTGATAACCTCCCTGGGAAGCTAATAATCACTACTCCACTTTCTGTCTCTATTTGACATATTCTAGGTACTTCATTTATAACTGGAATCATACAATATCTATCCTTTTGTACCTGGCTTACTTCACTCAGCATATTTTCAAGGTTAATTCATATATTACCAAGTATCAGAATTTTAATTCTTTATCATTCAAGCTGAAGAATATTCTATTGTATATTTACATGACATTTTGTTTATTCACTTATCCATAAAAGGATATTTGGATTTTTCTGTTTAACTATTGTACATACTACAGCTATGAACACTAGCATACAAATATATATTGCAAATTCATATTTCAGTTATTTGGGAGTAGCTGAATCATACAGTAATTCTATGCTTACTTTTTAAAGGAATTGCTAYATTGTTTTCCACATGGGTATGATTTTTACATATCTACCAGTAATGTACAAGGTTKCCTTTATCTCCCCATCTTCATCAACACTGGCTATTATTAAATAAATGGGTATGAAGTGGTACATCATTGTGGTTTTGATTTGAATGTCCTTAATGATTAATGGCATTGAACATCTTTTCATATGTTCACTATTCATTTTAATATCTTTTGCAAAAAAGTCTATTGAATTCCTCTGCCCATTTCTGAATTGGGTTATATTGCTGAGTTGTAGAATTAATCTTTGCATAGATGTTTTAGTGACTCCTGAGAAAAAGTTTACATAATGTTCAGTTATTCATGCATGAAATATTTATTGGGTATATACTATGTACCAGATCTTATTCTTTATACCAGGTAAAAAGAAGTCCAAAAGACTCTGTTCTCATGGGAAATATTTTTTAACATGGAGACAGAAATAAATAACAAGAATGTAAGTATTATTATACAACCACCAGGTATGAGAGATACTACTTTAAGTTGCATGGTTAGTGAAGGCCTTTGGAAGTCATAGCTTGAATTCAAAAGTCTGGGAGATACAGGAATTGACAAGAGCAAAAAGGCATGAATTACAAGCTTGAGGTGTTTGATGTAGCCATTCCAGTTAGAGGGGAATGTGTTGTTGTTTTTCTTCTTCCCATAGTAAAATTATCCTCCCAGGAGAATTCTGAAAGCCTTTGATGACATGTTGTAGTAGTGGGAGTCCTATACTCCCACTGTCTCGAAAAGTAAGAATGATTTTCCTCTAGGCTAATGTCTGTGTATACACATCCAAAAGATATCATGCTTGAACTGTTCTGAAGGTACTCTGCACAGAAAGGGTAAGGAAAAGAAAAAATAATATAGCCAACCCTCTGTACCCACCAGTTTTATACCTGCAGATTCAACCAGCTCTGGGTGGGGAAACAAACAAACAAACAAAAAACCCCACACCGAACTCCATCTGTACTGATCATGTACAGACTTTCTTTTTCCTTGTCGTTAGTCCTTAAACAATAATAATATGACAACTATTTATGTAGCATTTTCACTGTATCTAAGTTATAAGAGAATTTCAAGTATTCAGAAGGATATAATAGGTTATATGAAATACTATGCCCTTTTAGATAAGGGACCTGAGCATGAGTGGATTTTGGTATGTGCCTGGAATTGGGAGGTAGGGAGGGGAAAGGGTGTCCTGGAAACAATCAAGGGCTGACTTCGGGAGGCACGGCATAGAAACTTGGGGCAACACTGCAAGGGATAATTGAAGACTATAATACCTTTGCAAGGAAAATGCATAATATGGCACTCTCCAAAGACTCTGTAGATAGGCCATGTTGAAGAGAGAGTGCTTGGACATGCAAGGCAAAGAACTGCAATAGGCAAGATTTTTACAATGTTAAAAAGATAAAAAAAATTTTAAAGGAAATAAACCTTGAAACTAAAATGAAACCAATACAAGCAAAAAAGTAAATCTTAGAACACCATAAATCAAACCACATTCAAACTAACCTCAGTTAACTGATTTTGCAAGGGCACAAACTATGGTGCTGGAAAGGGAGTTACGGATAAGAAAGGGAATTAAGGATAAGAATGGGACAAAAGAACTTGAAGAGACTTGGATCTTAAAGGCAAGAAACTAAAAATTGAGGGGGTTTATTCAAGCATATGCAGTGAGTTGATCTATATCTAACCCCCTCCCCAACTTTATCAATTAGAGATTATTCTCACAGATAGATAATATGCAGATTCTTCTCTAGGGAAATTCAATACTCCAAAGAAAAAATATCTTGTACCAACATTATGGGCTTCTCCAATAAAAGAGCTGACTCCTTGCCTATCCCCTAAAATAACGCTTGGCCAGTTGTCAAGACTTGCTCTGTACACAGAGCTTCCAGTCACTTTTCACACTTCACTTTGAAGTCTGGACTTACAAACAAGGATCAGTACATGAAGGAAAAAAGTCTTTTAACATAAAAGGAAAAACACAGATATACTATAAACAGAAGTAGTAACCCAGAGGAAACAGAGTTAATTTAGCCCATAAAAGTATCTTAAAAWAATTAGTCTATTTGGTATTCTTAAAGATACAGAAGAGATAGAAGGGGGGAAAAAAGGAATGAAGAAAAAAATAGTACTGGGTTGGGGGAGGACCACTCCCTAAACAAAAAATAATCATAAGATGAAAAATACAACTATGATAATGAACTGACAGAAGAAAAAGTAATCACAGTAGTCTTTAAAAGAATAAAAAGGTAAAAGGGTGAACAATARATTCAAAAAGGGAGAGACTGAAGATGTATACTCAGGCACATCATCATTAAATTTTTGAATTCTTTAAGAAACAATAAAGTAAAACAAACACAAATATCAGTGAAAGAAAAACCAGGTAACGTATGGGAAGAATAAGAATTAGAATGGTATTGAACTTTTCAATAGAACTGGATTCAAGAGTAACATCTTTTGATTTTTAAAATCCAGAACTTTCAGCTAAATAATCAAATAGAGGACAGAAAACATCTTAAAATACAAAGATGAAGAAATTACAATTTAAACAACATTTCTTGTGAAGTTACAATTTAAACAACATTTCTTGTGAAGTTACAAGAGGATATGGCCCAGCAAAATAAGGTCAAGTAAAACCAAGTAAGAAAAAGAAAGGCATCCATGAGCAGTAGCTTCAATTTAGGACAACAACATAGGGAAATACCCACTTGTGAACAGTGGGGCAGCTGGAATAGAGAACACACGGTCCTCACTGCAGACAGAGTCAGGTCTTAAGGGAAAAAAAAAAAAAACTTATTGGATAAGTTTCATTCAAACAACAACAATTCATAATACACATGCATAATAAACTGGGGAAAAGAGTAGGAAAAAAAAAGAATTCAAGCAATTGCTGGATAGTGGGAGGGAGAGAAACTGTTTAACAAAGTAAAATTGAACTGAAAATAGAGCTATCTTTATATCAGAAGGGTAATCAGGGAGTCAGTAGATAAAGTCTAAACCGGATAAGCAGGAAATAGCAGAATAAAGATATTACTAAGAAATTTGGAAAACTACCACAAAAATTAGCAATAATAACAAAAATAATAATGGAAAGTGAATGTATGTGTTAAGTAGGCCAGAAATGGGCAGGGTAAGGGAATATGGGGTTATTTTTCCCATCGTGTATGCCTTTAAGCACTATTTGTTTAATATATAATGCACATATTAATTTGATAAGAATAAGCTTTATTCCACAATTGCAGTTTAAAATTACTTTGGTTACAATGAAGATTTTATTTTGTTAACCACTTAACTAGGATTTGTCTTTATTTTGTGGTTTACACAGCCTATAATGGAATCCGAAGTCTTTTATCTTGAAGGGATTGTCAGTGGCACATGAGGGCAATGACAAGGTTACTCCTTTTCCCCCTAAAAATTTTAGCAATAAGAATATTCACCGAGAATTAAATCTCAAAGTATATTGGATAAAACCAGAGAAACCAAAATTCATTTAAAAGATATGTGGTGATCTTAGACTAAGATTCTACTCAAAATGGCCTGAAGGCATTAATATACCTAAAGGCATACTGTATTAAGGGCTGGGGTTGTGGCTCAGTGGCAGAGTGCTTATCTTGAATGCATGGGGCACCACATAAATATACCTTATATTTAACCAGAGATATGGAAAATTGTGCTCTATATATGTAACAAGAATTGTAACATATTCCACTGTTATTTGTTTAAAAAAATAATTTTAAAAAAGTATTATACCCATCTACAACTTAAAAAAAAAAAAAAAAAAGGCCAGGGAGCTAGGGATATGGCTCAGTGGTTGAGCACAGCTGGGTTCAATTCCCAGTACCAAAAAAAAAAAAAAAAAAGGAATACTGTGTTAAAAAGTCAGCACAGAAAGAGCAGTTAGAAAGGCAACACAGGCCTGTCTCCTGCTTTTTCAGGGAAGAGAGTTCACAAGCTCCCACAACAATAGTTCATGCATCTCTAAAACAGAAAGAAACGTGTAGTCATAATAACAATGTCAGTGATATCATCCAACTCTAAGATCTAATTCCAGTCTCACCAAGTTTACTTCAAACCTCATTATTTTCCTTTCCAAGTCAATATACAATGCAAAAAGAGGGAAAATTACAAAGATCACAAAGTGAGCGAGTGATTCACTTAATGGTTATTATTCTCACCAGTATTATTTTATATATTAATCTTTGTGTTCTTAATGAATGCTGGCTGCTATGAAGGATGAATTGCTTTTGATATGCTATCAGAAATCAGGTCCATGACCTTGCAGGACTGAGAGCTATAAGACAGACCACATAAATTCACAAAGCTATTGCCACCCTGAGTGTGCCTGAGAATCCAAAAGACTCTTCCCCCTTTTCTTTACACTGCAGTGGCTGAAAAATATAAATTTTCAGATAGATATCAGTTGTATAATACTGAGTTAATGTAATTTTGCTTCAATCGGTAAACACTTGCATTTAACTCTAACTTTTCTGAACAGAACAGTTTGGAGAGACAATTGCCACCAAGCAGCAAGTCAATTGCTACAGTATGATTTTAAGAACTGCTAAGCTTTTAAGTATCATCTACCAGTTTATTTTCACTGGCATAATCCAAATTTATTTGGAAGTAACAATAATTAATAATTCCCCCCCAGATCCATGTATTCATACTGTCTTCTACAAATAAATAGCAAAGAAAACACAGAAAACTTACATGGCACTGTAGTTCCAAACCTAGTGGGATTCAGTACTATGAACCTGTTTTTCAAACTTCTTCGGCCCACACCTTGAGCTCCTATTAATACTAGCGTTTTTCTCTGGAAGGGAGGCATTTTAGCTACTTCCTCGTATATCTGAATTTCATGACGATCAAATTCTAAATGTAAAAGGAAATGGAAAAACATTATATTTACTTATCTTTCCTATACATGAGAAATCATCTGCTATACTTTCCAATGATGGTTTTGTTGTCTTGATTGTTAACCTGTTTAGCACAGATTAAAAAAAAAATTGGTAAAGTACAATAAATTATTTTATATCTTGACTTAAACATCTGTTTCCAAGCATGTGCTCTTAAAATTTTATCATACTTATTTATCAAATATTCTATCCATTAAAGTTTCTTTATAATCAATTTGTCAGTAGAAACAACTCTTTAGTGCAAGTAAGCAAATTATAGATCAGTAAAATTTACACTAAAAAGGGTATATTGAGTATGGAGGAAGGAGTACAGAGAACATCCTTCCAATGAAGTAAATGAATAAATACTATACCAAATGCATATAAACAACATGCTGGTATTTAAATATTAAGATCCTCAAATTTATGTATATAATAAAATGTTAGATCTAAACTATTTTCAGTTAATATATCCCAATCATCATCTTAGTCAACAGGAAAAGGACAAATTTTCTATTTTTCAAAAACGCTTTAGGGACACATATTTAATGAATACTAAGGTCAAAGTGAATTTGAACGATTATATTACCTGTCATTATTGATAGGACCATTATTGCTAAAATTCCCAATCTATGGTAATAATACTTAAGTTATTATCTCAACAACCTTTCCTTATACAATTTCTCCAAAGTAGATTACACCAGTACTAGGACAGAAAAAGCTTACTTCTTCCTATAGTATTTCTTTGATTGTATACACTTTAGTTTACTACCAGTATAGGGGTAGGACTGAAGTTAAGAAAATACTTCATTTATTTATTTTTGTGATGCTAAGGATCAAACCCAGTGCTTTTCATATGTTAGGAAAGTGCTCTACCACTGAACTATATCACCAGCCCTGTTTTATATTGAGACAAGGTCTTGCTAATTGCCCATGCCTCGATGAACTTGTGATACTCCTGCTTCAGTCTCCTTGAGAAGCAGGGATTACAGGATTGTACCATCATGTCTGGCAAGAAAGTAGTCTAAATAATGTAGTTTCCATTATTTATCTTTCTTCTTTTTCTTTTTCAGACAGGCAAGGTGTACCCGATACAGGTCTGAGATCTTATTTATAAAAATAACTTTATGCTTTATTGAGGTACACCTGACAGTAATTTTAAACTCTACAACTTGATGTTTGGATGTAGAGACACATAAATGATCCTAATTAATTAATGATGATCATGTGCCYCTAGCTAATTAATGTATCTATCACCTCACATGGTTGTCATTTTCTTTCCTGTTAAAGATATTTCTTTCTTTGAGACTAAAAGATTTAAGAAAGAATTCTACCTAATTAAGCTAAGATTTGCTTGGTCCAGTGCTATTTTTCCAGAAGTCTTAAGGACAATGTTATGGCAGAATATAGTTGTCCTTAATCATAACTCTTTTAATATCTTCACAAAAAGCATTCTGCCCTTTAGAAATAACACATAAATTATAATTTAAAAATTCTCTGAATAAATGGTTTCAATAATTGTAACATTGCCATTGGTTAATACCTGCATATATGCTAACCAATTCATTTGGTTTTTAAACTATACTCACAAAAATCAGTTAGTATATACAGTAAGGACTTAAAAAACCTTTGTTATATTGTACCATGTGTTCACAAGCCAGACCCTTGCAAGTGGGTAGTAGTCTAAATTACATTTACTTTAAAGTAGATATTCAGAGCTTATTCTGTAATTAATGATATAAGTTATTTTAGACTTGAAAAGTATTTAAAACCTACCTGCATTTCTGGTTGTGAGATACATCATTTTTTTCTTTTTTTTGCTACTTATAGTTCCACAAAAAGGTCCTGGAAGGATGACAAGATCAATATAATGCAAACAATATGTCAGAATATGATAAAACTGCACTGTGATATTTTATGAGAGTGGGACACTCATCTTCTTAATGTCCCATCCTAGGAAGCTCAAGGGGGCAAGGGTGAGTTAAGCCACTGAATTTTGATACTCTACCAGTAGGTGGCAGAAAGGGATTAAAAAGATTAATTTTGAGAGAAAATAAAGCAGATGGGAGGAATTAATTCTAGATATACTTAAATAAAGCCATTGCTTATTTAGACAAAAGAGGCAAAGAAAGGTGAGCACAAAGGGCTGTTTGTACTTATTGTTTCGAGCTCATCACCTGAATTGTCCCAGTCTCTTCTAACAAATGCCTTTCTCTTCTCTTCCAGGAATTGGCTTGGAATGAGACCAGCGCTTCCTCCCTCTTTCACATGGCTAGCCTAGAATCAAATTAATGAATTGTATACCTCAGTGACCAAAATTTGAGACCATATTCTTGTAAGTAGGATAAGCAGTGGTCAGTAAAAATAATGTCACTTAAAAAAAATAACCTTTAGATTTAAATCCATGGTACTGGGTTAATTAGCATTGCAGAATTGATTGGTACCTAAAATTCTTTATATATGTTATTTGGTGATGAAATTTTAAGACCAAAATACAAAGATATACAGGCTTCTACGATTATTAACACTTTTGTTCATAATATTAAATTAGTCAAAGAAGGGAAAGAAATACTGTTCTATAATACAGAATGAGGGACTATGGGTATAGCTCAGTGGTAGAGCATATGTTCAGCATGCACAAAGCCCTGGGTTTCATCCCTAGCATCAAAAGAAACAAAACCCTAAAAATCCTAAAAGACAATTATAGTAAGATGTGTTAAGAGAACATTTCATCCAGCACCCTTTAGTAAGACATGTACTATTAATCATAATCCTGCTATACTGTTATTTCCTGAGACCAAGTCAATGAAGACAATATACAGGAATTTGAATATTCTGAGAGGTAGTAAATTCAAAATAGGTAAAACTTCATCTAATTTCAAAACATTTGAAATAAAAATAAAAGATATTTTTAAGTAATAGTCTAAGATTTGGCTACATTGCTTATTTCACAGTTACTGTCTTTATCCTTACAACTGGCAAAGAAAACCTGAAATCATTTTTAGCAACCCTGGAAATTAAAGTAATAGACTATCAAAATGCAGGAAAAGATTAAGAAAATGGTGACTGTATTAGAAGAGAAAGATAAATGATGACATTCATAGAAAAAAACATGGAAAAATAAAAGATATAGCCAAAGAAAGCAGATTTTAAAAATAAGTATTTTAAGACATTCAGTGAAAACCTCTAGAAATCATGGATTCTGTTTAATTTTATCCATCTCTTGGTTTTCTCATCACACAGTACACTTATACATAATCAAAATCTCAATTTAAGTATAGGACACATTAGTAAGACTATTCTTATCTTGTAAATGGTTTTAGAGTTAATGTAAGTTACCAGTATTTCAGTTAATTTTAGTTTGGTCCTACGTTCTTTCCTCTTATACTATGTTCTTTAATGAAACAGTCATTTGGCATGACAGTTAAAAAGCTTCCAGACCTTTTGATTTGTCAGTTTTTCCAATTTTGACTGCAATTGTTTGCTGATACAATTACAAAAACACTCATTACTGTTTCTAAAACTTTCTGAAAGCAGTATTAGAGGAAAGGAAAAATAACATCACCACATAGATCTTATGGAAGATGGGGAAAGGGAAAAATATAGTGATGACACACATTTCTTTTTTTATTCACAGATTTTAATCCAAGACATAAACAAAACTAATATAGCAAACCTTCATTTCTCAATAACTGAGAAGAGGTGAGCAAATAGATTTAAGACCTTAAGAAATTATGCTATACTTGCCATGAACATAAACAGAAAGGGAGAAGACAAGACTATACAAAAGGGCTGACCCCAAGTGAGTTCTTCCTGCTCATAGCATAGTTTAATGCAATCACCCATGTGAAAGAACCAATTGCTCCAATCCCTAAACCAGTGGAACTGTACCATAGGTGGGTGAATTCTGAATTGACTAATAGCTACTCACAAATTCTCTTGCAATTTGCTCTTTTTTTTCCACAAAATTAGTAGCCAGGAGACAGAAGCTGTTCATGTGGGAAAAATCAGGGAAGGAATGGTAATACCTTCCTCCTGAATATTCAGATAATGGCCAGATCTAAGACTAAAAATAGAAAAGCAATTGAAGAACATTTGAGAAGCATACTAACCTGCCACCAGTTTGGATCTTCTCTATTTACAATCTGAAGAATTTCTCCTTTGGAAAACTTCAATCCTGCTTCTTTGCAGGGTATCAGGTTATCATTGTATGGGTTATAATCAAAATGACACTTTACAAATACCTAAAACACACATAACAATGAAAAATACCATAAATGAGTTATTTGCCASTGGATTTTGGAATTCCTTTTCAAAGCTCTGTGATTTAATTGTAAGTGACATGTACTTAGTACTTCAAATAAGGAATTTGTCTCTCACAAGTAAAAATCAAGATGTAACATAATTTGGCATCAGAAAAAAACAGTAAACATTAGTACTATATTAAAATTATATTTTAATTAATCTTAAACCAGCAAAGTTTGACAATTATTCCATTCCACATTTTTCTACATTCCCCCAATCTTTTTATTTGATTTTTCAACCAATACTGCATAATTTTTAATGTTACTTTTCAATTAATATCCTGAAATAAAGTATGCAGTTGACTGAAGGCATATATTTCAGATATATTAGGACTGACTTTGTAAAGGGATCCTGACACAAAAATTAAAATATAAAAGTTCGTGGTGAAGTTAGACCTGAAATACATTTGGTAATCTTAAAGAAAATTAAAAAAAAAATCAACTTTCATCCCTAGTAATTTTTTTAATCAAACATATTTACACTGGCCAAAACTAATATGAAAAATAGTTTTTAAAAATTAACTTGCTCTGATTTATATGGTCTCTTATATTTAAATGATCAGCACTAAATTAATTGTAAGACAAATACTGAAAAAGCCTTTTAACTATTTTCCAATTTAAATTCATTTACATATACATGTTTCTTTTAAATCTGCTTTATTAACAAAAGTATGTCAGTTATCTGGGATATTTTTCTTGTTCACTTTAATTTGAATTCTAATTAATTTAAGCATTTTCAACATTTGAAAGTTCAGACAACTGCTTTTTAAAAACAGATTTTTTTCACACATATTTATAGAAATTCAAATTTTATCTTCTAACGAACAGCCTCAGTATTAATCAGCAGGTATACTTTAGTAAGCAGGAAAGCACACAATTAGTCAAAATAACAATATTATTTCTCTATTTTGTTTATTATACTTCCATAACTATAACCAAACAGGAGATTCAAATAGTACRAGTGCATATATTATTAGTGTGATAAAATTAATATGATAGATGCATATTAAAATAATTTAAAAATAAGTTTGGGGACATATGACAAAATTTAGTTATTTAAAATTAGATGATTGTGATAGAAAGCATTGAGAACATTTTCAACAACTTGAAAAAGCTAAAAACTAATGCTAAAAAATCAGTAAGCCAATTTTTTTTGGCCTGATATACAATTTTAGAAGTATCTAAAAAGCAAGCATACAAACAATATTAAGATTGCTAAAATGTGTCAGCTGGATAACTTGACAATGGCATGCAGCTCTATGTTTTGGGAGTGGGAAAAAAAACCAAACAAGTAAGTTTAATCAAGGTAAATTTAGTTGACTGATAAAGAAGAAAAAGAGAATACCAGAGAATACTCTGGAATGACTTCATACCTGACGCATGTGTGCTGGATGCCTCTCCATGTTGGTGTAACTCTAAAAATATATTTTTAATTGCATAAATAAAGCCAGCTTTTAATTTATAATAAATCAATAAGGTATAAATAACTTCTGGGCCATTTTATTGTTTCACTTGGTAAAGAAACTACCTCTCTAATTAATTGCCCACAAATTATAAATGATAGAAGCAATAAGTTAGAGGTACTTAAGATGAGGCAGAGAAAAGGAAATGGTATACATAGTTATAAAATATCTGCATGTTCCTCATTTCTAATAAAAGGGGAGCTTGATGGAGAACCATGTCCTATTATCTAACCATGTTTGTCCTTCTTATGTGTGGGAACATATTTTGTAACCATAAAGTTACAAATTTAATCCAAATTTCAAATATGCATTCCCCTACTTTCCTTAAAATTATTCTGGAAATATAATTATTTGTGGAAAACAAATTACATTTCTCAAATATAAAAATTTCTAGAAGGAACAATTATGTTTTCATCTATCCAACTAATTTTGGATCATTCCCTTATGCTCAAATTCAGATTAAACCTAGTTTTACTTAGGTAAAATCTGCCTGAAAAATCAATTAATCCAGCTTTGATATAGATATTCTATAATAACTTTAAAATCATTGGAGAATTTACTATATTTAATGTAATTATTTATTAATTGAATCTTGAAGTGTTTCACTAGTAGGCTATGAATGTTAACTGTTCTTTTTTAAAAAAAATATTTATTTTTTAGTTGTAGTTGGACACCATACCTTTATTTTATTTTCCTATTTTTATGTGGTGCTGGGGATCAAATCAGTGCCTCATGCATGCTAGGCAAGCACTCTGCCCACTAACTGAGCCACAACCCCAGCCCCTAACTGTTCTTTATAAAGAAGTTACTAAACACCATCAACTAAAGCATTTCAATTTCACATTCTTATTTTTTTTACAAATAAGAACTGAATGAACAAAAATTAGAAGAGTAAAATTACTTTCCTTTCACTTTTAAACACAGATGATCAACCTCAGAATACAAATTGAAACTGCAACATTTTATTCCTATTTTACTAGTATAAATCCAAATGTTCGATATATTCTATAGATAGGAAAAACACCTATTAGTCCATATCCCTAATAGATTTGTGGAAGATGGTTCAGCCCCTTGGGAGGACAATTCGGGAAAAACTATGAAAATTACAAATGCATAAACCCTCTGACCTAGTAATCTACTTCTGAGAATGGATTCAATAGTTCTATTAATCAAATACATGCAAAATGATTTATGTACAAGACTACTACTAAGTTATTCCAAACAGCAAAAGATTAGAAGCAACCTAACTATTTAACAATAGGGAATTGGTTAAACAACTGATGATAAGCCTATGTTATATAACACTATTGTAGCAGTTAAAAAAAAAAAAGCATTTGTGAGTGAAAGAGGGTGGTGAGGGGAGGCAGTTTAGGTATGAAGAGGAAAGATCTAAGATGCATGCTTAAGTGAAAAAAAAAAGAGAGAAGATTCAAAATAGCATGCATATCATGAAAACCTTTCATGAAAAAGGAAGTGGAAGGGGAGTAAGAGAATATAATTTTTATTTACTTGCATATGAATAAAGAAACTACAGAAAGATAAAACGAATAGCACAGTTTCTTATTGGGATGATGGGTATTAGACTGATAGCAGAAAGGATTCACAGGGAGGCAACTGAATACCTACTTAGATTTTTTTGATTTCTGAACCATGAGAAAGATTCACTTAATCAAAAATTTAAATTTTCTGAAACATCTAGCAAACTGGATAGAATATATGAAACAATGTTTCTCAAGACATCAGAGATCAGGCAAGAAAGACAGTGATCTCTATAAGATGTCATCAAACAAAATCATGAACTGCACATCTGCCCCAGTTAATTGCACAGGGAAAGGTCCCTGGATGCAACTCAGGGGAGAAGACTCCTGCTGGAGTCTGGTGATCTCCAAGTTGAGGAGATGAGCTGGGAGATCAGGAAGATTGAGAAGGCAACAGAGTACTGAAAAGAGTATCAGTGAGGAAAGCTACAGARAGGGAGGACTTAAGAAGCACAGGGACTCCCTCCAGTTTTTAGCTGTCCCCTGTTTAGTGCATGCATATAAGGAAAGTACCCAGCTGCTCCTTCCTAACTGATGGGGCACTTGAAAATGTCAAATATCAGGAGGTCATATAAGGTCAAGAATAGCATCCATTCTCACCAGGTTGRTGGGGAAAAAAAATCTCATGATTCATGAGACACTGGGTAGAGTACTTAGAAGGGCAATGCCCTAGACTTCCCCTGCTCTGGTTGCATCTATCAAAGCTTAAGAAGCAAGATTTCAAAGGATCAGAGTACTTCCACGTAACTGCATCAAAGAACAAAACTTAARAATATTCCTAATACAAAAATATCCACCACCCAACAAACTACAATTCATGATGCCTGACAGCCAATTGAAAGTGATCAGGAAAATATAACCTAGAAGGAAGAGAAAAGCCAATTAAGAGTAGCCCAGAAAAGATGAAAATAATAGAACCAATAGACGAGGCCAGTATGATCATTATTTTAATTTTACATTTTGTGTTCAGATGTTCAAGAGTGGGCATGTTAAGTGTACACATGACACACACACACACACACACACACACACACAAAAACACACACATACAATTTGAACCTAAAGAAATAAAAACTAATTTTTCTATGATTAAAAAGTCAGTTGTGATTGATAGCAAATGCAGAAGAAAAAAATAGTAAACCAAAGATACAGCAATAGAAACTATCCATATGGAAAATATGGAGGAAAAAAGACCCGATGAATAAATAGCACATTAGTGAATTACGAGAGAACTTCAAGGAGCCTGCTATGTAAATGGATAGAAAAAAGAGAAATAGAGGGGTCAAAAAATATCTGAAGAAACTAGAAAAAAATTTTCTGAGCTTGAAAGTTTTTCTTTTCAGTAAACAGAACTAGAAAAAAATGAATATTTATACGTAAAAAGTAAAAGAAAAAATACCAACTTTGATCTTTTCCTCACACTATATATAAAAATAAACTCATAGTAGGTCAGTTATAGACCTAGATATAAAGCACAGAACTATAAAACTTCTAGAATAAAGGAAAAAAATCTTTGACCTTGGGTTATACAATGATTTCTTACAAAACAACAAAAGCATGACTTACAAAAGAAAATGTATATGAATATGAATATACATATTTGAATGATTGACACTGTTAAGAGAATGAAAAGTCAAGCCAGATACTGGAAGAAAATCTCTGCAAATCAGGATGTTCTTTTCTGAAGATTYTCTCAGTATATGCATGTGGACTACTTAGTTAAACACACACACACACACACATTTTGAGACAAGCAAGGAGACTATATATATATAGCTTAAAAAGATYTGAGGGGCAAATCCATCTGGGGGCCACAAATTTAAGTTTCAGTTGGTGTAGTAAAATTTTATTAAAAAACATATTAACTTAGGCTATTCAAACTATGCTAATCAAAATTCTCAAATTTCTGTCACATTTGAGTCATTGGCCCATATGAGGGTTAATAATATAATGAACAACAACATGGATTTGCCAACCAAAACACAGTCTAAGCCTGTGTGGTCCTCCTGTCCTTATTCCATTCTGTCTCTTCCATCATCCTGGCTTCCCCAACTCTTACCCTGGACCTTTATTCACAAACTCCTTTCTTTACCTTTTGTATATAGATTTAATTGCATCTATATATATTGTTTGAAAGTATGCATTTAGTTATTTTGAATTAAAAATACTATACTATATGCATGTAATGATTTTGGATTTACATGCTTGTTAACCTGTTTCCAGTTGTACATATTAAGAACTACTCTAGGAAATTACTGCATCTTGTTACACATGAACTTTCAACCGATTTTGCCCATTGAACAGTATAAGATGGAATTTCACACTGTGATTTCTAATATAACTGCAAATATTTACTGACCAAGTRTATTTTACTTGATTTAAGTATAGAGAATGAAATGGGAAGACAATTTCAAATATTATCCCTATGAATAAACCAATTTCCCTCCATTCCTTCAGTACTTTCTTCTTTTCTTACTGAATGATGTCTTTGTCATATTCCAAAGGGGTGGAGGGGACACACACAGGTCTTTTTCTGAGCTCTCTATTCCACTGATCATACTATTTATTCCTATGCCAATACAATATCTTGATTTCTATACAATAAGCCCCTATTCCTGCCCCCTCCCTTTTTGGCCTCAAAAGTGTCTTAGCTATTTATCTTATCAAAGGCCATGAAAAATCTTGCTGGAATTCTGATTGAAATTTCATTTAATCTATAAGTCAATTTGAGGAAAACAATATTGTCTTCCTATCCATGAAGATGATCTCTTCACATTTTTTTTTTTTTTGGTGTAGAGGTCTTGACTTTTTTCATTAGATTTATTCTTAACACAAATGTGACATTCTGTACCTCTATTGTAAATGATCTAGTTATGTTTTTAGATGTCTGCTATGACATAAAATTCAAGTGATTGTTGCATATTAATTTATTTTTCTATTACTTTGATAAATTATTAAACTATTACTTCTAAATGTATAATTTTGGGRGAGGTTTTCATGCAAAAAAATCAATTTTTTGTCATACTTCTAAAATCTTTTGTTTTTACAATTTATTTTTGCCATACTATGCTTGTGAAATTTTCAGGAAAATATTAACTGAAAGTGGTGCTAATGAACACCCTTCTTTACTTCCATTTTTTTTTAAACTGGGCAAAGACTTTATTCACCTTTGTTTTACACTTCAGTTTCTCAGTTCTTTGACTTAATTAACAGCAAACAAATAATTGAGTATAAGGAATAATTAAAAAGTAAAAATGTCCAAGAGCCTTCAAATTTAAAATATTACAGATCTATATGTTGTTATATCCCAAATGAAAACTTTAAAAGCAGTCAAAAATCCTTAACATTTCATTATTATTTCTTTAAGAAGTTAAATCAATTCAGTTTGCTTCATTGCTGAAATCCTCATCAAAA